TTTTACTTTATGTGCTATTTCAGGCAGAATTTCAAAAAAGAAGTAAGGTAGCTCAGGCAGAATAACATTCAGATTCAGTTAAACTGCTTCCAGTGTCTCTGCTAGCTTGCTTAGGGTAAAGTTCAGGTATTTGTGCAAAGTACCACATCTTAGACATTTTCTTTCACCTGTTGCTGAAGAATTCAGCATTTTCTGTGAATCAGCAGTGAACTATACCCTTGATAAGCAGTAATAGGGCAATGGCAGTAGTAATATGGTTCTAAACATATGTGATAAAATAATACCAAAAGTATTAATCCTTCTTTTAATGCTTGCTTATATTACAGTCATGCTTTGACTGGAGGTTTGCATGTTCTGTATAGAAAATAGGACAGCAAGGAAGTGGTTGGAAGGTGAGGGAAAAGCAAAAGGGATCCCGGAGCCTCCTCATACTACAGCACCCACCATCAAGTGATGTTCATAGGAGCTTTTTTCTTAGGAACATCATAGGATTCCAAAGGATGAATTATTTTCTTTCTTTTCACAAGCAACTATTGTCAGTTTTCTTATAAATAAATAAAGGGATTGTGGTAAGATTTTGGTGACTCTGGACAGTCACAAAAAAGGCAATTCATGTATCCAGACAAACCTGACATTTGAAGAGCTTCCTGAAGCAGTGCCATCCCCTTCAATTCCTGTTTTTTCTGTGCTGGAGCCCCTGATGAAACTCTTCTGCACTGTTATTTCTAGTATTTTGGACCAGTAAATATTAGAACTAATATAAGGAGTCTGATACTGTCAGTTGCTCTACTTTTATCACTGCTTACTGCATTTTAGGGCAATTACTTCTTTTCCTTTCTAAGAGTATGTAGTATTCACCGTATTTTGCAGTGTGACATGAAAACACAACAGGTCAACAGTGACAAAAATTCACAGTTTTTATTTGATTACGAGTTCATGAGAAAATAGAACTAACCAGTAAATAATAGTGATATGAACATACAGGAGTTATGTGCAGCAAAGGTATTTGTCAACAAGTTTTGTGATCTGTGAAGTTTTATCCTACATAGGCTTTCAGTGAAGCTAATCCAAATATATCAGCTAAATTTTGTCATGGGGTAGTAAGAATGACTCTGGGTTTACATTTTACAAGGGGTTCTCAACTGTAGATATTTCCTGCAGCACATTCACCATCTGACCCTTACCCATTTTACACACTCTCTTAATGCCAATTATAAGAAGTTCACTACTATTCTGTGACTTTACTTGCTTTTTTTAAAGAGTTTACTCTCAACATGTAATTAATGCTATGTATTATACTGCAAGAAATGAGTATGACTTTTAATGGGATATGTAGTATTGTTTATGTAAGTTTGGTTTGCTCTCCCTCAGTCGTTATCCATTGTATCTTTCTATTTTTTCACTAGATGGCAACATAGCAACGCTCCATATCAAAAGTTGCTATAACCAGAGGTGGGCTTTTTCTATCGCATTTTTCACAGCAGAGCTTAAATAATTCACCCCACCCCTCGAAATGGGAACATATGCATTCTGGCAATTTCAGTAAATTGTTTCTTAATGGTGTGAGTCCTTTCTGTCTTATTAACTGCTGCTTTTTTAGACAACTGAAGTGCAGAATAATCAAGTAAGAGAAAATAAAATTGCTTTATAAAAAAAAGTCTTTTTTCTTCCAAATAAGGAAGAGATTCTATTGATTCATCTGAATCATCTCACATATGCTTGGTTATTTTGTGGAAACACCATTTATTGACACCAGTGGCACTTATGTTAGCATCTACAAGAACAGAATTTGCATCATTTTTGCCTTTCCAAATATTTCATTTACTGAGATAAGTCTGGAAGTTAATACATCTGTTGATAGAAAAACACTGAAGTAAGTTTGTAGTGAAACAACTTGTATCCAATAATCATATGCAAGAGTGTCCTTAGCATCCCTCTTCAGAGCACTGAGCCCGTAGACTAATTCAAATTCTAGTCAGACTGGACAGGATGCTTATCACTAGACAAGGTATGAAAACTGAAATTTCAAACTCTGTTTCTCAGGAGACATATTTTCCAGTGAAATGAGAGAAAAAGAAACAAGACCAGTCTTAACTGAGCTACCAGCTTCTTTTGCTTTTGGAACCTTGGACAGACTCAACAGTTTTGCTCAGTATTTGGTAAACAGTGAGAGGCTCTTCGGCTTCTTAGGTCTCTGAAAATCAGCAGCAGCTTCTCGGGAAACAAAACAGTTTGTAAGAATAGGAATAGATTCTGTTCTGCATGACATTTTCTCCAGAAGCCTAAACTAGAAAGCTTATATTCCTCCCAGGTCTACTTTGTACTGAGCTGAATTTTTCAATTTTTAAGTTTCGGTCAGCCCTGCTATATCCTGATGTAGTGAAACAGAACTGTTTGGGCCTTGATATTTGAACAAGTTATCTTCTTCAGAGATGCCGGCCTTTTGCACCCCATCAGATCCATTATTATCCTTTGTATTTAATGAATGAGTCATATTATGCCAACTGAAGTTAGGGAATTAATATTGGAAAGCTCTGCAGCTACTATTAATTTGAAAAGTAACAAAAATCATTTCTCTGTCTTGATTAGCTTGCATTATCCACACTCTGTTTCCTGGGAGTGTTTGTCAAGGAAACCATTTAAGTTTCCAACTCACTCCAGACTTGATGTGTTGGAGCTACTAGAGCTGTGTTCATATCAATGTATATCCTAATAAAGTGACAGTATGCTATGTACCTAAAACTGGAGGACCACACAGATTGTTGATCTCTGTAAGGAATCCATCGATGAATGGATTAGTAAAATTAATTAATAATTCTATGGAATACACTGAGCATGGGCAAGTGAAGCATATAAGCATAAGGATATAGAATTACATCATGTGATTTGTTATTTTTTGTAGGATTATCTATGTTAGTTGCTCACCAAGCATACTAATATTTCTGCTTTCAGTGCTTAGAATATCTGCATTAGGGATGCATGTGTAACTGTCAATGTGATGCACGCACACACACAGACACACACTGTAAGAAGCTAAGAATTCTTCTTCCCAAAGACTTAGAAATTCCCAAGATTCATTACTATTTCTGTTGTCATGTTTGCTAGTCTGCATGATTTACAATAAGCCTATTCCTGCACATAGGTTATCTCTTTTCAGCCCCATTTTCTCTTACTGCTTATCAGCACAACTCTTGCTGAATTATCAGTGGCCCTGATCATCATCTGCAACGTGGCTTGGTATTAGTTTCTGTTAATCCAATTTCTTCTCCACATTCCAAGTAGCTCAAAGGAGGTTGTGGGAAGGATGGGGAGAACGTGTCCTCAGTAATAGTGAAAGTTGTATTACTCCATGGAGTTACAATGTTACAACCATTAATTTTTAACTCCAGATACTATCTTCTCAGCCAGATCTTTCAGTCATGTACAGTTCTCAGACAGCACTGAGATAGGAATATGCCTGGTTTGGTAAATTTAGAAGTTAAAGTCCAACTGCAGGCAAATTTTGATCTTTTTCTCCATGATTTCTTTTCATCATCTGTCTTCTGGAATTAAAACAGAAGTTGGAAATAATTTTGCACCACTGAAGGTGCAGTTCTTCTAAGAATGTGACATTAATCATGTAGTTGAATTTCTTTCAGTCAGTTCAACTGACTGAAGTTTTCAAGTCTGTCTGTTGTTTCTTCCATTTCAAGATTATGAACAGTCGATATACCTGCAATATCTGATGACATCATGGCAAAAATACATGGAAAGCCAACAGTATTTCAGCAATGCTTTGTTCTAGATACTCCTATAATTCCAAGACCCAAACAATCACTTCCTAGCAAGGAAAATTACATCTCACTCTGTTTCCCCCAAAATAGCAACCTCTCCCTTAAATGGTCTGCATGTTTTCCAACAACAAGCAGTTTTACTATCAAATTTCGGAACGTGCTATACAAATTATGGATTCAACACTTACATAGAAATAAAAGTTCCCTCAGATGCTTTGACCCAAGGCCTAAATAACAATGTAACTGATGTGGCTCTAACACATAATGGAATCATATTTTTAATAAATGGTACTTTTTATAAACAAGAAGCTAATATTATTTTTTTAAACTTGGAGTAGAACACAAGCTTCCTGAAAGTGAAATAACTGCAATACATTCAAGACATTGGTGTTCATCTGTCTATCCAGTGCAGGTGGCTTATCTGTAGTTCTCATTTGACATTTAAGATACAGATTGTCTTCATTAAATGTCTGGATGAATCTATTTTAGATCTACTTTGCATTGATGTAATGCTGGGTTTAGAATTAGAAATGACCAGACAGCAACAAGTTTATTTAAAGAACGTTTTGAAATAAGGTCTGCACATTGTCTGTGGCTCTCACTGCATGAGCTCATGCAGCCATATGAAATAATTTTTAGGATCACAGCTTAAATTTGTAAATGCATTTCAGTGAAGCTCTCCTAATTACATTAGCTGAAAATGTATCCCAAAACATCTTGATTTCTTAGTGTACATCCTGGATATAAACTTTAAGAGAAGTTACTATTTATCTAATTGCCATTTTTTTTAACAGGGTGGAAAACAATTAAGTACTTTGGCAGCATGGACATCTTCTGAGGTTTATCTTGGATATAATGAAACATCTAATAACACAGGCGATACAGCAAACTTTGTGAAGTTATTAGATTTTCCAAACACTGCTTCTTTATCTGGAGAGGCTGTTAGCTATGACCCAGTCCCATCTGAAATTACATTGTTGCTGATCTGCAGTGGCTGCAGCTCCTCCAGACTTTTTTTTCTGGCAGTTTATAATGAAGACAGACAATCTGGGGGCTTAAGAAATTTTTACTTACCTGTTCCTTACAGTTCTGTTGAGGATGATATACATAAATGCAGCATTATCATCTGGGCTGCTGCAAGATGACGTGAGTGTTTACTACACTTAGAAAAGCAACACAACTAATGGATATTTTCAAATATCTGGATCAAAACTTTCTCCATCAGAAATGTCACATGGCAGCATTACTCACCAGATTATTCTTGGATAAGTATACTATATTTTAAGTACTTATTAAGTATTTTTTTTAATTAAGTGGTAAAGTAAAAGAAATTTCAAGTAAGAGATCATTGAAGATACCTTTTTGTAAATGACAGTAGTAGAATAATACTTATTCATTTCATTGGTCTGTCAAGAGTGAAAATTATTATTTTTAGATGGACAGACATACCATGAAGAGAGTTTGCAAACTAGTTATTTATTCTTCAGGTATTGTTAACCTCCATCCATATCAGTATGATTCTAACCTGCACTCCCTATTCAGTATGATTCTAATGTGAAAACTCTGGCTTTCATCCTTAGCATTTGTTACAGGAAGTTAACTTGATGGTTTTTGTCCAATTCTGTTTGACTAGGAGTTTAATGGCATGATAGCTCTCAAGAGAAGGTGACTGAAGTATTACAACTTTTTCAGTACATCAAAGAGAGATTATTTTACAACCTTCTAACTTTAAGGCACTCGCTTTCAGATTATAATCACAGCATCATATTGAAAATACCTGGAATTCCCAAGTAGAACACAAGTGTTATTAAGAAAAGTCCTTTTATTCATTATTGCAGCCTCAGGAAACCCCATCAAGTCTTTTCCCAAGGTATTTGCTAATCTTTAGTTGGCTGTTAAAGGATAATTCAACTAAGCAGGTACCATTTGCTCTACAGACAATGGTATGTCTTTTTTACTACTTGAGTCACCTGGTAACTGTACCAAAGTCTAATCTGAGTCCATCTCTATGAAGTTTGGAGTTCAGTGGAGCAGTGCTGGACACTACTACAGCCATATCCTACAAAATTGTTCATGAAACTTGAGAGATCTTATTCTACGGTTTTGAGCTGTTGTTCTAATCAAAAACCCTTCTGAGTGTGCAGGATCATATGGAAAAGCTCTCTCAGGCAAAATTAGCCAGCTCCAAAGGCCACAATAAATTTCATTGGGACAAAGCTTGCAAGATGAAGCTATCAGGCTTACTGGACGCTCACTCTTACCTACTGATGCATCTTATGTGACATAGAGGATGGATCCTAACAACATAGCCTGGTGATGGCTTGAGAGCTGACCTTATCATTGGAAATATGGCAGCAGCTGAGAGACTGCTTACAAAGAACAGGAAGCATCTAGGCAGAGCATGGCAGAACTGCCAGCCCAACTATTGCACGACTTTGGTAAACTGGACAGCTGAGCTTATGGTGATTTGGTTTGCTCATTCACCTCTGTATAAAGGTGGTCACTTCAACCAGGGTGAAAAAAAAAAAAAAGATCAAGGCACTAACGGTTGCTCTTCTTCCATGTGGAATGGTCTGGAACTCATTCAAAATTTCAGCCATATCTGAATTTCATTAGAGTTAGGAAATTAATTAATCTCTGCTCTTTCTTAAACTCCCTGTAGTTTCAGGGCTGAGTTGGACAGCAGACATCTTAATCTGAATAGGACGAAATTATTTAGACAAACTCCTCTTTCCTTCTTTCTGTAGCCAGAAGAATGAAAAGCACAACAAACCCCTTACAAAGCCTGTTCAGCTGAATAGCCCCTCCAAGGTGAAAGTGCTTTCAGAGATTAAGGTATACTACTCAGAGCTTAAAAATGTCAGACATCACAAGCAGCCACTTGGAGTTCCACCTACAATGCCATTGTAAAAGCATCTATGAATGATAGTGTTTCTTAGAGCAATCTTTTTCTTAACATACGCTAACTCCATATTAGCTCTGGATATGAAGGGGAAGCTTCTTGTTATCACCATTAATATGGTGGATTATGTATACTGTCAAAGAAAAATTAAAGGGCTACTTAGCATTAATCGAAGTTCTTTGAGATGCGTATGCCATATGCCTATTCATCTTCTATCTCTCTCTGGAAGAGGTCCTCATAGAGCTGTTTAGATATAGAATTATGGGGTTGAGAGGACTACAGAATATATGGTGTGGTCTCCTTTATGTCCCTATGTGCAAAAAGATGAAGCATGACCATGCTTCATGAATATTGCTCAAGCCATATGGCTTCAAGTACTAACAGCACATGCATCCAGAGTGGCAGTGTGCCTATGGGGATTATATCTTCAAAAACTCCAGCTAGCGCTGAGTACCTTCCTATTTTCTCAGAAAGATTCCTGTATCTGAAATGTATACAGTTACCACTGGCATTTCATTATTACATAAAACATTGTGCAGTATATTAGTATTTTAGAGTAGTTGATCATTTGGTGAACTAGTTTGTCCAGTCATTGTTTTATTAAAGACACTGGTATGGCCCCTTCCTCATATGAGATCATACATGGTAACACTACTGGAGTCAGTAGATTGAAATTTATACAGTCATTAAAAGCAAATTAAGGAGTTTGCCTTCCTTCCTCAAAATAATGCTCCTTATATCTATACAAAGACCCATCTTCTATCCCCATGACATCCAGATTCTTAAGCAAAAGAATTCCAGTTGACAAAGGAAATGATCCTGCAAGATCCTGTGTTTTTTTCTTCTTTTTTTTTTTTTTAAGAGAGAGTGAGATTGAGAGGCAAAAGATATGTCTGTCAGCCACTAGGCATAGTGGATGAGGGAAAGGCTGTGGGTGTTATCTACCTTGACTTCAGCAAGGCCTTTGACACTGTCTCTCATGGCATACTCCTTGAGAAGCTGGTGTCTCATGGCTTGGACAAGTGTACTCTTCGCTGGGTGAAAAACTGGCTGGATGGACGAGCCCAGAGGGTTGTGGCGAATGGGGTTAAAGCCAGTTGGCGGCGGGTCACAAGTGGTGTTCCCCAGGGCTCGGTGTTGGGCCCCGTTCTGTTTAATATCTTTATCGATGATTTGGATGAGGGGATTGAGTGCACCCTCAGCAAGTTTGCAGATGACACCAAGTTGGGAGGCAGGCTCGATCTGCTTGAGGGTAGGGAGGCTCTACAGAGACATCTGGACAGGCTGGATCGATGGGCTGAGGCCAATCGTATGAAGTTCAACAAGGCCAAGTGCCGGGTCCTGCACTTGGGTCACAACAACCCCATGCAGCGCTACAGGCTTGGGGAAGAGTGGCTGGAAAGCTGCCCAGCAGAGAAAGACAGTTGACAGCCGACTGAATATGAGCCAGCAGTGTGCCCAGGTGGCCAAGAAGGCCAACGGCATCCTGGCCTGTATCAGAAATATTGTGGCCAGCAGGAGCAGGGAGGTGGTTGTTCCCCTGTACTCGGCACTGGTGAGGCCGCACCTCGAATACTGTGTTCAGTTTTGGGCCCCTCACTACAGGAAAGACATTGAGGTGCTGCAGGGTGTCCAGAGGAGGGCAACAAAGCTGGTGAGGGGCCTGGAGCACAAGTCTTATGAGGAGCGGCTGAGGGAGCTGGGGCTGTTTAGTTTAGAGAAGAGGAGGCTGAGGGGAGACCTTATCGCTCTCTACAACTACCTGAAAGGGGGTTGTAGTGAGGTGGGTGCTGGTCTCTTCTGTCAGGTGGGTGGAGACAGGACAAGAGGAAATGGCCTCAAGTTGCAGCAAGAGAGATTTAGGTTGGATATCGGGAAAAATTTCTTTACTGAGAGGGTTGTCAGACATTGGAATAGGCTGCCCAGGGAAGTGGTTGAGTCACCATCCCTGGAGGTATTAAAAAAGCGAGTGGACAGGGTACTTCAGGACATGGTTTAGTGGGCATGGACGATGGTTGGACTCGATGATCTTGAAGGTCTTTTCCAACCTAAATGATTCTATAATTCTATGATTCTATAGCTTGTCCAAAGATTTCTCTTTAACTTGGGGATGTATATGAATGAAGTACATCTAGATATCATATGAGAAAGATAACAACTATAAGAAAAATGAATTTGAAATAAATACAGTCGTAATCTTTTGTAAATTTAAATTACACAAATGTGTATTCTTGCTGCTTTTCTTCTTACAGACTACTTTGGGAATATATTGATAAAAATGAAAAATAACATCTTATTTGCTGCAAGAACTGGCTTGAAAGAATTAGTAAAGCTTCCTGTGTGGATAAATGGAAAGAAAAACATGGTCCTTTAATTGAATCTATCTGCTAATGTATGCATGTTATTAATTAATGGTTTGAGAATATACCACCAGACCTATCCTTTGGAAATTGAAATATTTAGCTCTACATTTAGCTCTGAAGATTCTTGCTCTATTGTAGCTTTTCAACACAGCGTGATTTGAATGTCTACTATCTGAACATGGGAGATGAGGTGACATTTTTGTTTCTGATAGCTTTTGAGGAAAAGGTCGCTATAAGTACATCTCTGGAAGTCTCCAGGCCAAACGTACTACAACTAGAAAAAAGCAGCAGTTATGAAGTTGCTCATGGAATCTGTGTTAAAAATGAGGTAAGGTTGGGTTTTTTTTCAAGTTTCTTTCAAATATGAGTTTATTTCCACTATATTTTGCTACATATGTTGATTTTCTGCTGTATTTGGGCAATATTTGGGATAGTCCTTATGTGTATGTAGAAGGAATGGAGAAAGGCTTCTTTCCACACGCATTCACTGCTGTTGAGACTGTGCAGCAGAGTATATGCTCACATAGGTCCATGCAGATTAATTTTCTACTGATATAGCTATTATTTCCTTAAAACTATAAATCAAAATAGCATATTAACTAAGGTCAGCACTCTAAATTTGTGTATTAACTACACAATTCTGCAATATTAAGAAGATTTCTTAATAAACATGAACAATAAGTCACATAAGCTGGAAATCATCTACCCAAATTTAGGCGTATGGAACACACTTAAATATCTCTTAAGTGTTTGTCAGCTTTTCATCTTGTTTATCTGCCCCGTTCCTGCTGCGATGTTTCATTCAGGTGTCTAATGATCCAAACATATCAAAAGTGTCTCTCTTGTGCTTGAACAACCTGCTAATTTAGATGCCTACACCATAATCATAGCATGTTGTGAAGCAACTGCCATTTTGTAGAATTTAAGTCCTGTTGCTCTCTACAAGCTCACCCTTTCCTAAATAGCTCAGAAACAAGGCTCCTTTATCAATTCCATAAAGGAGGCCCATCCACTAGTATAAAAACACTGACCTAAGCATGATTGTTTTGGCAAGGTTTAGGACAGGTCCTGGACTAAAGAGAGAGGAAATACCAAAAGCAGATGGTGTAGAGGACAGGTCACGTGGCATACACCTCATCCTCCTAGATGCAGCATTGTGATTCTCACTGGTGATAGAGTGGGTAGATTGTTTCCAGCTCTATCTCAATGCCATGATGTATCTTTGCAACCTTTCTTGAGACAGATTAATTTCCAGTCATGTCACAGACATCACTGTTTTCCTCTAATATATGTTAGAATGCCTGATCATGTTGTGCAGAGTGTGTTCTTATTGTGTGTGGCAATGTTGTTGAAGGAAAATTGTTGTGGTCTTAGGAACTATTTCCTTCACTGTGTGGTGCCTATGAAGAAGAGAGAGTTGAGGAGGTAGGTAGCTATATAATTCTGCTGTCCAGTGACCCTGGCTCTTTGATCTTCCTTTTTTTTCCTTTGTCTTCCTCACTTTCCAGCTCCCACCCTCTCTCAGGGAATTGTAATCCTCCTCTCTTTGCTTCTTCCCCATGGGAGGCTGAGAATGGGGAACTGGCTGTGGTGACTGAGTGCTGGAGTGTTTGAAATAGTGACTGATTAGAAAAAAAGGATTTATTTTTTCTTCTGAAGCTGACTGTGGAATGGGATTGGCATTCTGGTAGAGGTGACGAGGTAGCTACCATGCATATGGTCATGTCCTCTTAAAGACACCAAGTTGTTTCACTACAGCAGTGTCTGCAGTAGAAGCTAGTCATTTCTCTTCTGTGACATGGAGATCTTCAAAGGAAAGTGGAATGTGTGATTCCAAAAAGAAATTATGCCAAATCACTGAGGGTGTCTGTATGAAGCAAGGAAAAGACAGGAGATAGGAACGAGGGTGCTGAATTGTGAAGTCCTTGCAAGTACACTGCAAGCATGACAGGGCTTTTATTTTCCGATGTTTCAGGAAGGAGCTGCATTGGTAGGATGAGAATAGATCTCTCGGGCGCCTTTTCCAAAGAAATCTGAAGAGTGTAAAACTGCTGAAAGGTTCAAAGAGCACAGGCTTAGTCTTTTGTGCTAGGACACTTGTCTCAACTAAATGAAGGCTCTTAGTTTATGGGATGTATCGACCTATAGTTCAGATATCTAATTTAGGGTAGGTGAATGCCAGGTACACTGTTTGGGCAACCTAGAACCACATGAGTAGAGAAAAGATTCAGCCTCTCACTTAACATAGGTACTGTGAAGGACCCATTTGTATGAGTATTACTTATTTTGTAATAAGTTCCAGAAGTGGAATTGCACAATTTTTTCCAATTCCCTAGACATCATGAAGATATCCTTTATCTCAGTAGAAGCGTCACTGTGGTTTAAAGATTTTTATTATTGTTATTTTTTATTCTCTTTTAGACATTTACATTTTACCACCAAACCAACTATACTTTAGAAGCCCATTATACAAAGGCATTGTGAGTATCAGAAAATTTATTCAGTACATGTTGAGCTGATAATGTAGTTTTGATAAGTGGGAATTAAAAATCTCATCAGTACTACACTAACTGCCCTGACAGTTATTACATAAATTAAATAATATAGTTAATAATGCTAAAGAGAAAATACTGCTTGTTGCTGTAATACATCAAGAAGGGCCATATATAGCCCACAATGGACATAAGTTACATTAGGGAAAGCAAATAAAATATTTATAAAATATAAAATAGATAATCCTGTTATGTCCTATTGACAGAAAAACCATGCACATTTTACCTAATACATAGATTCATTCTAAAGTTTCTTTTCACTGTTTGTTCCAGCTGACAGGCTTTTCAGCATTTATGTTTTCTTGGATGAAAATACAGCTGTTGAAAAAACCTACATCCCCAGGTTATATTCACTGATGAGGATCTGCGGTTGGAGATTAGCCTTACATTCCACATATAAACTATGAGCTATTCTTCCTAGAAAGATGCACAGGAGAGAGTACTGAGTGTGGCACATGACTGAGCCACCTCATTCTCTGAAGAATATGACTTCAGCTACTGTTAAAATAAGCACGTCAACATGTAGCCTTAGTACAGTGCTACGGCAAAGGACCGAATGGGATTTTTGTATATATAAGAAAGAGAATATGAATAAGAACTAAAAAGGTCAGCTTGCTTCAGTGCACAGTGTTGATAAAGCTGAGATGAATATATTGGTGTCCAGTTCTAATACCCCCTGTTCAAAAGGAATGTAAAAATACTAAGAAGGCTTTAGGATCACAAAAATTGTCTAGTTAGTGAAGGAAAAGGTTTGCAATGTGATGCCTAAGAAATCAATTTGTTTCATGTCTGATAAAAGAAAGTGGCCATTGCCCTCAACATTTTTGTAATGCTTGCAACTCTGTGCAAGAAAATGTATGTAATTTAATCTCAGGCTTAAGTGTTCCATCAGGTATGCTGTAGGAGTTAGAAAGGTATGGTTTTCCCAGTACACAATGGCCAAATTACTCTCTGTGAGGTGAAGGTGTGTTTGTTTTCAGTCTCCTTTGAAGCATCAGTTTGAGCACAGATTAATATATCAGACTACTTGTGAGAGTGTTATTCCACGGATGCATGGGTTGTTGGACCTCATTCCTATGTTTAAAATTAATTACTGTTCCCTGTTATTTCAGAGGCTTCAAGCCTTCATATGTCACTGTCATGAAAGAGACTTTGTTACACAGCTTTGGTTTAGCAGCAATTTAGGATTTATCAATATTTTTGAGAAAGATCACAAGATTGGGTTGTATAATTTTAATCATCAGCCAATTTAATAGAGTGAGTTGATGGAATTTTTTACAGTCAAATTTGCAACTTAGTTAAAGATTTGAAATGGCAAGGATCACCCAAAACTTACAGCAGGGTTGCACACAGATGGAGGTTAAATCAAATCGCACACACGCATAGACAGATAAAACGGTTCTGAACCACACAGGCAGGCAAATAGTTCTGAACCAAACTGCCAATGCACACACACAGATAAAACAGTTCTGAACCAAATTTTACACACACCCACACACACACGGAGGTTAAGCTATGATTAAAATTTCTCTCTCGTGAGTTTCATGAATTACTCACCTTTATGTGCTGGCATTCATCAAGGGACAGTCAGTGAACCTCGCAAAATCAGGCCTTTAAGTCCTCGTGAAATCTTCGACAGACGATCTTTCAATCCTTGGGAAATCCACCCCGAGAGGTGTCCCAGTGTCCCAGCCCAGGGGAGACACGGGGTCACACAGCCTGCTGCTGTCCTGGAGAGCTCAGAAGGTGTCTCCTTGGATCACTATTTATCGGGTCTCAAGATGTTTGGCTTCAGTCTTTATTTTATATTCTGGCCACAATTCTTATCAATCTGATACACAATTCAGGCAGCAGATGGCCCAGGTGTGGCCAGAGTGCCTGATGCTCAACAGTCGCTGCACTTGTAATCAAGATAACAGCACAATGGAGGTTTTCCCAGAGCATGCATGGCTTATCCTGAGATCTCAGAGTGACCCAGGGGGCTGCACCACCAAAGTCCCAAAGTAGTCACCTAAGAACTGAAATGCTTTAGTTAACTAAATTTACTGTGCTTTCTTCAAAAGAATTGGGATGTAATTAAAATGTCCTGACATACTCAGAAAACAAAAGTAGATGCCTAATAGTCCTAACTACTGTGATTTGTATGCTTTACTATCAGCTTTCATTTATCTGTTCCCATATTACACTTATATTTTAGAAGTTATTTTGCCAGTCTCATATGTCCCCTTAAATTGGTCTGACAATTGGTAATGAGCTCAGACTCTGTATTGTGTTTTATTTTGAATATCTTCTTTTGCTTTCCATCCAAGACAAGATTTTCACATTTTCAGTTAGGTGAAGTATCCAGCCAAAGATCTTGGCAAATGATCCATGAAGAAGGTTAAACACTCCAAATGGCCATTCTTCTTTGAGTTCATCTTTGAATTGGCAGTACTGCAACCCATGTTAAAATCACTGGCATTGGAGCTCTTACGCCAGGATTCATTCCTTTTTTTTTCATCCAGATACTCATTCATTTAGCAGGTATCATCAGACATTGATAATGTCACCTTCATTTTGTTGAGGAAGCCCACCATAGCTTTAGGATACCAGATGATTTTAAAACCTTCTTCAACAATTAGCAAAGACTTTATACTTTGCTGAGCTCTCCTGCAGTCTTCTGAATTCTTCTACCAAGTATCACCCATGAGGATGTCACCGCCAATGACTGAAACAATCTTAAATCTATCAGGAAATCTATCATTGGCAGGGCCCTACATCTTGCACCCCCATCTCCAAAGATACCAAGTCTTGGCAGAGAATACCGTATTTCTCTTTAGCTACAGTGGTAATCACCTGTGCCACTGATAGTAACAGTGATACATAAAAAAGCAAACATATTTTCAGTTTGCACTGTGTACTTGGGGAGAAGGACTATAAGGGACTGAATGCCTAGTATTAGTACAGGTATTCCTCTGCTTCCTTCTAACTCAGATTTGCAAATTTATCAAACCTACTTTATGAGCAGAAATTACTTGTGGTTCCTGAGATAATTCTGCTTGTATTATTCCCAAGCACCTCCATGCAGTCAAATCTGGTTGTTTTCAGGCAGGTAACTTCCCTAGTCACTTTTGTGATGTGAATCCATCTTTGAGCCCTTCATTTAAGCATGTTAGAGTATTTCAGACTTCCTCCTCTCTGCTCCCTCCCCTTAGCATTGCTGTTCAGTTTCTCTTTCCATATCAGTTCGTACCTGTAATGGTGGCAGGATCCCCGAAATGTCTGTGTGGATACGCCATTCCATTTTTTTTTCCTCCATCCAAATCAGTCAAAATGGATTGCTTCTCAGCAAGTTACAGCATTCATGCAGCTGATTTTAGCCCAGGATTCAAGGACAAAGGTCTTTGCCTTAGTATACTGGAGTATAGAGCCATAAAGACCCCTATATGCATCTGATGATATCATCACTATGCCCTGCATCAAAGGACAAAGTAGCCTGATTATTCTTTTGTCAGAAATGGTTGATCTTTAGAAGTTTTGAATCAAGCTTCCAATTCAACTCTAATATTCTCCTTCAAGGAGTCCTAAAAATGCTAGTGAACAAACCTTGCCATTTCAGAATCTGAGATCACAGAAGGGAAATACAGTCAGCTGTCTTCAGTACTGTTTGCAAGGACCGATGATTTTCTGAAATTGATTTCTTTATGGAAAACTACAATAGGAGCAACCAGCTAAGTGTTCTGGTTTAGGGCTGCCTGAGTCAACAGGCTCTGACTGATAGATTTCAGCTTCAGTGCTACAGTAAGTTGTCTTATGCCTTTCATCTTATCTCAACACAAGCCAGACTTCTGCAAAAAGTGAATTCAGATAGGATGTCTGTAATTCTACTTATTTCCATCTTCCTAATTCCAGATTCTACTGCACCTGTTAATGGGTTCAATAATAAGCCCAAATCTCCCACAATAGCAATCAACCTCCCACGTGAAGTTGACTTTTCTGCATTTTACAATATGGTTTGTCTGCAAACTAAAAAAATCTTTCATCTGTTCACATTTTCTAAGCTGTCTTCACTATCTCACTTTAACTGGGCTTGTGTTTATCTATAAAGACCTATTTCACAGCAATCATTAATCCATCCTCCCAAAGCAAAACTTATTCTAGCATTCCAAGAGAACTAGTCTGGAAATTAACATTGAAGAATGTAGTCTGTCCTTGGATAGCTGCTGTATTATTAAAAAAGTAACCAGGAAGTCTAATAAAGTCAAACTTGTTTCTCTGGAATCAACAAGTATTTAAAAATTACAGGCTGCCAGGACTGACTCTCATAGTCCCTCAAACATCCACCTGTAATACCACAATGATACCTGTATTAGTACAGTGAGAGTAAAATGGGACACTGACATTGTAGGTGATGTGATAATAAAATAAGAAATAATAAGTAATAATAATAGGTGCCTCTTGCCTCCAAATGAAATGACATTGATACTGCTCCATTTCATTTCCTTGGTGTTACTGATTTATTTCAAAATAAATTCTAACACAAATTCCTGGTTTGGGCAGGGGATTCCTTTATAGAGAATTAACCAGCAGTGTTCTGTCAGTTGAACTGCAGCATAGCATCTTTGAAAATGCATGTAAATTGCAGCATCAAGTAGGCGCTGTAGCTTGATAAGGAAATTTGAAAAAAAAATGCAGTAACAATGCTTCTCAGATTCTTATGAGCAAATCCTGACCCACTGCCAGGAGGATTTCACTCCAATTCATATCCTTCCAGTTAACTGACATCACATAAAATAATATAAACATTGTCTAAGTAGAAAGGCAGAAGAGAGGAAGTTCACAGTACAGTACTGATGAAAAAGTGTCCAAGAGAGTAAGATATGAAAAAGTCTGTGGACAAGAAGGGAGCCATAGTGTTATCAATTAATATGTATAGTATGATTGAAATAACCAGGGAGCTGCTAAAGTCCTGTGTACAGCCCCCATCAGTTAATATTTAAAATAGGGAAACAATTAGACATGATTTAGGGTTTAGGGACTAACTATTAGACAATGGGGCTTTACGTTCATGTCAGAAAAGGTAATGGATTCTGGTCTGGTCAATAAACCTTGAAGAACTGCTTGGAACTGCCAAGATTAGGGAAGAAGTAGGTAAAAGGTAATTTCTACAGGGGGAGATTGCGACCACTGTCTCATTGACCACCTACTCAAATGATACCATCTACTCAAAAGAAGACAATGAAGGAAGAAGACAGAGTCTGCACACTAATTTACATGAGGGGTGAAGAAGAAAGAACCAATCATTCAGGAAAATAACAATGAATATGTATTAGTTAAGTGTATAAATGTGAGGATTTTTGAGACAAGGGTGTGCTGTCTTGAGACAGGCACCCATTGATGCACATCAATGAAATCAATTTGAAAATACCTCGACTCTCTGTGTTATTGGCTTGCACACTGGGTAAATGAACCCTGTTTGTGGGACAACAGTAGTACTGAACCAGTATGCAGAATTGGTGCAATAGTCATTATTCCCATTAGTAGTGACCAGACTCCTCAAAGTGCATTGACAAGGTTCATTTCTGGAAGGTTTCCTGGGTAAACAAAAGTTTGTATTTTTTTCAGGTATCTTCTATTTATGTTGACTGCTCTCCAGGAAGGCCTATTGTTGTTGAGATGTAAGTTTTAATCATTTATTTACTTCTGGGTAACTAGTTGAAATAAATGCTGACATAGTGGTATTTTTAGCCTCATACATATCACTTCTTAGATTTATAAAATGTTTCTTTTGCTGCATAAAGGCATAAAAATAATTAAAATGTTTATCTTTTAGAATTATGTACAGACTTATATAGCTTATAACTTCTGAGGAAAAAAAACTAGCAAAATTTTTTTAAACATAAACTATCCAACTTTCCATAATATTATCAATTCTCATTATCATCCCTGGGAAAGCCAGCGTAATGTAAGTATCCTTTATCCTGTCTTGGGGCAGTGGGATGGAGAAGATGATCTGTGGTTCGTTCAACCTTATTTTCCTGTAACTCTCTGAAATGTTCAATCCATGATTGGAAGTACAGTATTATTAACTCAAACTTCATTCTTGTACTGAGACTTCTGACATATCGAAGAGTTCAGGAAAGTAAAAGCATAACCAATAGATCTCTTTTACCTTTAGAATTAATTTGAAACTAGCCTAAAATTCATCCCCAAAGCCAGCTTTTCATATTTTCTTGAAAAATTCATATCCTTAGAAAATTCTGAAACATCCTGAAATTATTGGGAAAGGGTTTTTTGTGAATAGAGTTCAGAATACCAAAATAATAGATGAAAAATTATTGTACAAATAATGATAATTCTTAAAGCATAGAATAATGAAAAATCATTTGCATGTTTGTGCATGAAGTATTAAATGAAGCTAATTTATACAGATTATTTTTTTCTTTGTCTTTTAGATCTGTAGATGTCATCTGTGAAAAACATAATTTCACTACCTACAAAACACCTGGGTAGGACACTGTATTAACAGCCTGAAGAAGACTAGGCATTTTGGACATACTGTCATATGAAATAAAGTGCTATATTTGAATATATATCACTTAATATAAAATGAGGCTGTTCTGATATTAATGTTCCTACCATCTTTTTCTTTTGTTACAGTACAGAGACAGTACTTGTGAACTTAAAGTGAACTAGTATTCTAAGTATCTTCTACCAGAATAGCCTGATTGAATCAATGCAGAAAACTATTGAAATATTTTTTTCTTTTCTGAGATTACTCTCTGAAATATCTGCAAAAGCATTATCTGTACCTGATCCTAACAGGTTGATGGGCATTTGCTGTAGTTCAGAGTTTCACCTTTGTGCTGTTAAATGAACAGTGTAAAGAAACTGGGGCCTGTAATTTTTCTGTTATCTAAATTTTTAGTTACTAGTTCTGGGCAATGCTGATAGCAATAGTTGGCTACAAATCTTTAGAAACTAGTGTCGGTTTTAAGTTGATTTTTAATAACATAAGAAGTTTAAACTGTATAGTGGAAACACTTGCTACTTATGTTTGTAAGTCATAGAGAAGAGTGGCAGGTTGAAATGTTTCTGTCTAAACAATTGACATTATGTTATATCAAGATAAATAAAAATAAGAGGTTTAATGATTGTTAATGTTTCATTTCATTAGGAAATTTCTGTGGAACCCAACAGATGAGGACCAGGTAAGAGTTATAGGTTCTATTCTAGTTAGGCTGCATATGAAAAAGAGAAACAGAGTGCGACATTCAATATCTGACTAAAACTTCTCCTTTTTTAGATAGCCTATTAAGACTGGGGTAAATACAGTTGCCTAATGGAACTTCATTGTGAAGAGTATTTCCAGCCTGTTACTTCCTTGTAAGTAAACTGCTGATAAGCTGTGAGGCACAAGGAAGAGTTCTACCAAGATCATGCAGGGATGTGAAGCTGCAGAAAGCATCCAAGTCCAACGGCAAGAGTAATGTTATCAAATCTTTATGTTCCTTTTCACACATAGTATAGGACGCTTTGGTTTCAGTGGGTATTGCTGCACCACATCAGTGCTGTAATTGCAAGACACCTTAAGATGCCTTAGGGTAAAACGTCTTGTCAGCATACTGCATACCTGTCTTACCCTCCACAGCGGCAGCTCAACATGCTTACTGATCCATGCACAGTTCTGAATACAAAGGCTGTTTGTGTGCTTGTGCTCTTTTACTGGGATGTCACATTCCACACGTTTTACAGATATGATGGTGATTCATATGTTAGAAATGTTGAAGCAAATTTTGTATTATGGGAGATGAAAGGCAGAACTGACTATGGGTACACTTCATTAATGAAAGAAGTAAGCCATCTGCTGAGAATGTAGTTTAAATGTTTTATGCATAATGGCCTACATGCAAAATATGACTGTTCTTACACATGCTGAGAACTCTTCAGTCTGAATGGATGTATATAGCTGCATAACATTTAAACACTTCATATACTGGACTTAACATCATAGACTATTCAAAGTTATGCATGTGGGAGGTATCAAAATAATACAGTAAACAGAAGAAAAATGTGCCCAATAGAATATAGTTTGGGAAATGAAACGTCAAAAATCACTTTGAAATTTCAGACTGCCTTCTCTCCAAAGAGAAGAAAAATTATATGCACTAATCCACATGGTCATCAAAAGTAATTCTTCCTGATCTATTTATAATTAAAATTAGTACATTGCTTCCTTTTTCAGTAGGATGGCAAAGGATATTTAAGCCAGCTCCTCATGTACATATAGTGTTACAGGAACTTTGGTAGCCTCCTCTGACAGCTCAATTTATGAAAGAACTCTTTGACACTCTTCTATGTATACATATACAGCTATGCTGGAGGTTTGGACATGATCCTACTTAGTCATTTGCAACCCTGACAAATACAGCCATCTCTTAAAGATAAGTAAATCAAATATACTGAAGCATGATGCCACATTTTCATGTACCATACTTTCAAATGATACATATTTAAAATTCACATTTTTAATCTGTTGTTTTGGGTTTTTAAATTTGTGTTCTTAACAGGCAGGTTGTCTGTATAAAGCACAGTCTTGGCCCATGATGCTTAAACAAAGTAAAAACTCTGCATTGGATAAAATATGGGGACCACAGGTATGAAAATGTATGTTTAGAAATAGCTGGTGATAGCGTGAATAAAATCTATTGTTATCTTACTTCATATTCTTGCATTACTGATATCCTTGGAGGAGGAGGGCATGATGAAGCATTGACAGGGTGGAATAAAGTTTATATGACAATATTGCATTGGTCTAACCATAAAATGATCTAAAAGGATAATTTTGTGCTGAAAATACATTATCAGCATTGTTAGTTATTATATTGCAAGAAAGGCAAAGGTATCACTTAATACTCAGTAAAGCATTCTTTGTGGTCAACAATAGGAATAATTGAAACTCTTGTAATACAGAAGAGTGGAACACAAAGAAGAGTGCTAGACGGGAAGCCAGAGGGGGATTATAGAACTAAAAAACATTCCTCAAATGCAAACACACACCAGGAAGCTGTCAGAAGAAGAGTGGGTACAAGCCCGTGGAATTAGAATAAGCAACAAAAATTGTGTTCATCCTTCCTGAAAAATAAAGGCAAAGAATGAGTTCGTTCTTTTGCACAAGGCTGGAGTATCTGGCTTGAAATTTCTGCAAAATCTTGTCTTCACTGTGTTGTTCAGAGAGACAGAAATTTGTTTGAAAACCTCTCCACATCAAAGCCAGAAACAGTTTTGTTAGCAATGCCAGTTTGGAAAGGATTCCATTTGGATATCCTATTTATCAGTAGTTTCCTTGGCATTTAGGTCAACTTCATAGCATTTATTTCCCATCTAAACAAAATTGTTTCACAGAACCCCAATTTTGGGCTTTTGCTCAAAGAGGCAATAATGTCATTACAATTCAGTAAGCATTTTTAGTAGTCTATCTATCTGTGGTCTTGATACTAGAAACGCAGCTATAGTTAAATTTAGGGTGAAATCTATTTCATCATTACCGTTACATCTGTCTGTTTAAAACACTTCTACCATTAGAATATAATTCTAATAAAAACCATGCTGCTTTTATGCATCAACTCATATTTAAGAAGCCTGACCTATTTGTACCCTTCTCGTTGCTAGAATCTAATCTTAATCACAAATACAACAATTTAAATATCTTTGTAAAATAGTTTCGAATCATAGATCAGCCCAGGTTGGAAGGAACTCCAAAACCTCATCTGGTCCAACCTTTCATGGGAAAGGGAGCCCAAGTAATCTCATCTAGTACCATGTCCAGTCACATCTTGAAAACCTCCAGCGATGGGGACTATACCACGTCCCTGGGGAGATTGCTCCAGTGAATGGTTGTTCTCACTGTAAAACAATTCTTTCTTGCATCAAGATGAAGCCTCTCCTGGTGCAACTTGTAGCCATTGCCCCTTGTCTTCTCCATATGGCTCCTTCTGAAGAGAGCTCTTTTTGCTCAGTATTGCTCTTTTATTAATAATATTATTGATATCACATTCTAGGGGAGGCTTGGCTTTCAGCATCAGACTCATTCCTGATCATATGGTTAGAAGAGCTGATGTACACATTTCCCCAGTTTCCTGCCTTTCATAGGAGACTGTCAAGGTAAGGTAGGATCAAGACCAAGTGGTTTTGCTGGCCTTCAGCAGTCTAACTTTCCCTCAGCAACATTGGCTTCAGGATCTTCTGAGACTTTCAGTCTACAGGACACTTCCATTATTATTATTATACCAACTTGCAATATGTCTTTTCTCTTAAAAGCTTTACATCTAACTGTTTGGATGTGGATGCTAGTGGGGTTAATATAACCTTGCTCTTACCAGTGAGGAACATTCTTGTAAACAGGAGAAAGGAATCCAGAAGATCTGTTGAGACAGGCAAGTTGAAAAGGCTTTCAGCTCACTATTCATGAAGATCTTATTCCCCATTATGAGCTCTACTCCAAGCAGCGATTCTTTACTATCTATTCAAATTGAAGAGTTTTGGTCTCTCGGTTAGCTCTACTAGAGCTCTGATAGCTCTGACAGCTCATTTCATGCCATTTTTTAGCCAGGCACTATTAGGTTAAAGTTTATTGTATGTGAAGATTAATCTGCTTTTCCCACCCTCTTGATGGTAGACTTGTGAAGGAGAAAAGCAGACTCAATTCTTCTGCCAGAAAACTGTTCTCTTAATGGAACCTTAATTAAATTTCTGCATCTTTTAATAAGAAAATCCTTTGAGTATGGGACTACAAACGTCTTCTAAACCTGTCCACTAAGACTACCTCTTCAATCACCATTACCTTGGCCCATTAGTGTAGGTGAGAGTCAGTTCCTCATGGCTGACCTTTTTTCTAGTTTTCTGTGAAGATAACATGACTTTTAGAATACACATAAAACTCTTACCCAAGATTTTCTTTTACTTTTATTTTGTCAGGAAAATGCTTGCATGCATCTTTTTTCCTAAAATTAATTCTTCCGCAGAAGCAACCCTTCACATCTTTTACGTTAGTGTACCCTCTCTATCTACATTAACAGGATGATTTTCTAACAGAGCTTACATACACATACCAATGGTATGAATGTAGACATGTACGTGTATTGGGTCTGCATGGCCAGGTTTTGGTAGCGGGGGGCTACAGGGGTGGCTTCTGTGAGAAGCTGCTGGAAGCTTCCCCTATGTCCGACAGAGCCAATGCCAGCCGGCTCCAAGACAGACCCACCACTGGCCATGGCCGAACCCATCAGCAATGGTGGTAGCGCCTCTGGGATAACATACTTAAGAAGGGAAGAAAACCCTGTGCAATTGCAGCTGGAGGGAGGAGTGAGAAGGTGTGAGAGACCCAACCCTGCAGACCCCCAGGTCAGTGCAGAAGGAGGGGAGGAGGTGCTCCAGGCACGGGAGCAGAGATTCCCCTGCAGCCCCTGGTGAAGACCATGGTGAGGCAGGCTGTCCCCCTGCAGCCCATGGAGGTCCACAGTGGAGCAGATATCCACCTGCAGCCTGGGGAGGACCCCACACCAGAGCAGGTGGATGCCTGAAGGAGGCTGTGACCCTGTGGGAAGCCCGCGCTGGAGCAGGCTCCTGGCAGGACCTGCAGATCTGTGGAGAGAGGAGCCCACGCTGGAGCAGGTTTTCTGGCAGGACTTGTGACCCCGCGGGGGACCCACCCTGGAGCAGGGGAGGAGTGTGAGGAGTCCTGCCCCTGAGGAGGAAGGATCGGCAGAGACAACGTGTGATGAACTGACCCCAACCCCCATTCCCCGTCCCCCTGCGTCCTGGCAGGGAGGAGGTAGAGAATCCAGGAGTTAAGCTGTGCCCAGGAAGAAGGGAGGGTTGGGGGAAGGTGTTTTTAAGATTTGGTTTTATTTCTCATTACCCTGCTCTGGTCTACTGGTAATAAATTAAGTTAATTTTCCCCAAGTTGAGTCTGTTTTGCCTGTGATGGTAATTAGCAAGTGATCTCTCCCTATCCTTACCTTGACTCATGAGCCTTTTGTTGTATTTTCTCTCCCCTGTCCAGCTGAGGAGGGGAGTGACAGAGCAGCTTTGGTGGGCACCTGGCCTCCAGCCAGGGTCAACACACCACAGTACATATAGACAATACATCTTGAGAAACTTGGAGGAAGTAACCTCATTTTATATTTGCTGTTTGATCAGATTCCCATTGGAAGTCATGCCAGGGACCCACAAGTTTTACGAGGTTGAAAGAATGTAAGGACAATGTACGAACCATGAGATCTGGGGTTTTCACCTTCAAGCAGCCAAGCTGGATGG